AGCAAGCAAGCAATCTATTATTTCATTGACGTTTACAGACGTCAGGTCCTATTTCTGGCAACATCACCAGCTCCGCTGCAATTGGCAACCTACACCACCACCACCACCACCACCACCACTACCTGCTTTGCTACCTCATCCACCACAAGCTCCAGCCATGTCACCGCCACGCCCTTTCAACATGCACTCCCACAAGCCTACATGCCTCCCCACTTCCCGCACTGCAAGCCAGTAGCCAAGCAAGCAAGAAAGCAAGCCAGCCAGCCAGTAAGCAAGCTATTGACCGCCAAGCCTCTCTCCAGAAGCGCCGACTCACGGCATACTGTGTGTGTCAACCCCCGTATCCAGGGGCGCTGAATTTTCATTATGCAGTTTCCACGCAGGGGCAGGCCAGCCAGCCAGCAAGCAAGCTATTGACCGCCAAGCCCATTCTCCAGAAGCGCCGACTCACGGCTTACTGTGTGTGTCAACCCCCGTATCCAGGGGCACTGAATTTTCATTGTGCAGTTTCCACGCAGGGGCGAGCCTCCGGAGTCATACGTTAGCTTGATTTAAAACATATGTGAGGTTTATGTTAGCTGTGCCAGCAACGTGGTGAACACCCTATATTGAACATGCGAGCGCGCAGGTGTGCAGGCTAATGCGCGGGCAAGCGCGCGGGCGAGCGCGCGTGCGAGCATGTGAGCGCGCGTGTGAGCGCGCGGGTGAGCACGCAGTGAGTGCACCGGTGATCATATCAGCGTGCGAGTGAGAGCTCTTCTGCGCAGTTTGCTTTGTGAATGAATGTTTAGTTTAAGATCATGGACTGTCCGTTCTTTGCATGAGTCAATGAGAGCATGAGAATGCTGTTGGACACATTGCGTTTCCAAAACCCAAAGACAATGGCAAATCCATGCAAATCCACTTGCAGCCTGATTAGCCTACAACCTACCTCTAAGATCCTCCAAGTGTTGTTCAGAGTGACACCTGCTGTGCAGTTTGCTTATGTTTGCTCGCTTTTTGTTTTTTTGTTTTGGGGGGGGGGCGACGTCTCAAGGTATGGGAATGAATCGGGATGCCATGAATGATAAGGACACAGACTAGACAAGGTAGCTTTATTTACAGTAGTAGAAGAGTCGTAGTTTAGTAAAAACGACTATATCATATATATCATATCATGAATATTAGATATGTACAGTTTGCCCCAACGATGCGTTTGATGTTGAGGGTTCTTCTTTTAGTGAGTAGACATATCTATAGACTAGACTATGACTATTACTATTGACTATTGACTATATATAGACTATAGACATCTATAGACTATAGACAGTCATCATATACTGTACTAATATAGACTGTGAAAAAATCCAAACACCAAAACACCGACAAAACCCTCTAGCAGCAAGCCACCAAAACACCGACAAAACCCTCTAGCAGCAAGCCATGCGATGGAGCTTTCCCTCCAAGCCTTGGATTCGATCGGGGCGGACTTGGATGCTCTAGAGAAGAGCAGCAGGAAAGCCAGTTTCTTGATCGATGTTACATTTTTGTGTGTACACAAGACGACAATAAAGACAAATTGTATTTTTGGATATCCTGCCTGCATAGCAAACACTGTTTGGCCTAGTCAAAGATATGTGTTGAGTTACTATGATTCGATGATGACTCGATGATATGATTCTAGATAGTTTTTGTTGACTAGACCATGGGTTTTTGCCGCAAGGTTCGCAGACCAACAGAGAAGCTGCAGAGCCTTACCAAACAAGGCCAGGCTGCCTAAATAACACTCGTTCCCACAAATTATCAGTTAGCAGAACCAAAGTTTGCTAATTAATTGAAATGAAAGTTAGAAGGGATAATGTTGAAATGATTCCATATCATATGATTCCATATCATATCATATGAGTCTGAGTTATTTATCCTGATGTGAACCAATATATTTGGATGGATAGATGACTGATATCATAGTCTGATATGAATGGACATGATTCATATCATGTCCAGAATCATACAACTTACTAAACTGAGTTGGCTTCATTGCAGGCGGCTGGCAGTCCGTTACTTGAAGCACCACGCGGTGAGGGAGCGCGACGTGACCGACAGAACGGCAGGCAGCGGCTCTTGGAAGAAGTGGCTTCCCAACGCTATGTTGAGAGCAGCGAGCCCTGGTCAGGACTAAAGTACAGTAAATAACTCAGATGCGCAATGGTACCATTGAGAGTAAGACCACAAGGCCCGCTAATCACTAGTACCGTACTACAGCACGCCAGTAGTAAAAATAAGTACTTACTTGCTAAACTTACTATGAATTGATTGATAGAACACTAGTAGTGCTGTAAAGTATACTACTTGGAACGATGTAGGCAACTTTGTCTACTTCCTTGCAGCGAGCTTATACATTGTTTGTATAACAACTAGACTGTGACTATGACTATGTGAGTGATGACTACGATAGACTATAACTTTAACTTTATAGCTTAAATTCTGTAACTATCTAGTCTATAACTATAATATTCTCAGTTTTTGTCCGCTCCACACAACAGACTCGAATTCAGAAGTGCTTGATGTCAAGGGGATTGATTGTTGCGGAAGAGCATAGCTGAGCGCATTGGATCTGCATTTGAATGCTCGTTGATTGTTCGATTGCTCGTCCAAGGTTTGGTCATTCAACGTTGAGTGCCACCAAAACCAATCGCCAATCAGTTTCGCCAACCATGTTCTCCGCTTCTAGCTTGGCTTACTGGATGCAGTCCAGCCACACCTTTGTTTCAAAGGTAACTTGGACTGGTCAGAAGTATGAATTGAAGGGCTTGGAGGGCTCAGTAGAATATGTTGAATTGATGTGGGCGCCTCCTCTTGCATCCTATGATTGTCTGTTCAATATCGATTCCGGTTCAAAGTTTCAACATGCTCTAAGAGCTCTAACATGCTGCATTGAGGATAGAGAGGCTTCTAAGGTGGTTCATGATATTTATAAATATATATATATATATTATATATTATATTTATATATATACATGAGAGGTAGGCATCACTCCTTCAAGGAATGAGAGGTGGCATATATCGAGTAGGGCAAACAAGGAGATAAGATGGGATAAGTTCTCTCATGTTCTTTTACTGATCTGAATCGACAGTCTTTTCAGGTTCAATGTCTGGTTGCCAGATGTTTCACGCACTGCCAGACATATTGGTGCAAGTCACTTCAAGCTTGCATATCCCGTGCACGCCCTACGGACACGAGTGAGCAGCCTACGATTTGCAAGCTACACCTTGAATTTGATGAGACATCGGAAATGCAACGAGTGAAACTTGGTCTGATGTCCACTAGTGCCATCTTCAGCGTGTTGGTTTCCCGGCTCTTTTCTGATACATGATGTGTATGCTGTATGCTAGTTTTTATGGTTGGATGATAGTTTGGATGATAGATGAACTTGGTTGAATCACAGGGTGTCAGCGACATTGATGATTTTGAGTTATGAAAGACATTGACATAGAGTTGATTGATTGACTGCAAACTGAAGGTTCAGCGGAATACTCTTATTGTGCGAAGTCGAGATGGTGAGTTCTCGTGGCTTTCTTTATGTTTGCTTTTTGTTGTTTGTCAGCGGTATCATTGTTTGTCCTTGAACTTCAAAAGGCCGGAGGCCGGACATGACAAGACAATTCAGGCATATGCCTCTGCTGTGCTGCCCAGCAGCCCTGCAAAAAACTACTGCTGGCGGAATCTGGGGCGGCATTGTATCAAAACAACCAGTTCACCCATTGAGCTCCTTGTTTGCAAGATGGTTTGAGACCTGAGATTGTAGTAGAGTATGTGATATGTATGTCGGCATGTGACATGTGTGACTGTGACTGTGGTCAAGACAGTATGAGCGGAGCTTGTTTTATAAAAAATCAATTCACGAAAGATTAATGAAACCGCATGCGACGTGAAGTAACATCAGAGTCAGGAACATATCAAGTGACCCCAACAGAATAAATAAAAGTGACATGCTTCAGGCTGGTGCCAAACAGCAGATATCTTTGTCCTAGCTTTCTGCTCAGACTGCGCGCCAGCAAACATGAAGATGGTCAGATACATATCCAGGAATTTGCCTGGCAACAGCCTTTTGACCCACCACCCTTGCAACGCGCTTCTTGGCAAAATGCTGATGGTTGAGTCCTAACCCTGAAATTAAACCATAACGACTATGAGGCTATGAGTCATGCAATCTTTGGGTTCCTTGCTCAGGCATGAGTCTCATCATTGCGTTGAAGACGTCTGGAGAGGTATGAACATCAACCCACTGTGGCTTGATTGATTGAATTCAATTTTTTTGTTTGTGGCCCGTGGCGGTAGTTCGTTGTTCAGGAGTCAGCTTGAGAGGGTCGGGGTTCCCACTGTAAGGTTTTGCACGTGCAGAGTCTTGGGATATGGATCAACATTTTATGA